GCCAAAGAGTTGTTTGACTTTTTACATAACAATAGTTTATTTGAGGATTTTCAGTCAGGATTTAGAGTTCATAATAGCACAGAGACAGCTCTGGTTAAAGTTAATAATGACCTTCTGACTGCTTCTGACAATGGACTTGTATTTTTAGATCTTAGTGCTGCATTTGACACCATTGACCATGATATTCTTTTACAGAGACTTGAGCATCAAATTGGCATTAAAGGAACTGCACTAAGCTGGTTTAAGTCATATTTATCAGATTGTTCACAGTTTGTACACGTTAACGATGAATCTTCAATAAATACTACAGTTAGTCATGGAGTTCCACAAGGTTTTGGACTTGGACCAATACTCTTTACTTTACTTTACTTTTACGTTCCCTTTAGGCAACATTATTAGGAATCACTCCATTAACTTTCACTGTTATGCAGATGATACGCAGTTATATCTATCTATAAAGCCCAATGAAATTATCTAAATTACAAACATGTCTTAAGGACATAAAATCCTGGATGAGCTGCAATTTTCTGATGTTAAACTCAAAAAAACCCCGAAATTCTTGTACTTGGCCCCAAAAACCTTAGAGACTCACTGTCTAAAGATATAGTTACTCTAGATGGCATTACCTTGGCCTCTAGCACCACTGTCAGGAATCTTGGAGTTATCTTTGATCAGGATTTGTCATTTAACTCCCACATAAAGCAGACCTCTAGGACTACCTACTTTCATTTACGTAATATTACAAAAATTAGACACATACTATCACAGACAGATGCAGAAAAACTAATCCATGCATTTGTTACTTCTAGGCCGGATTACTGCAACTCTTTATTATCAGGTTGCCCCAATAAGTCCATTAAAACGCTCCAATTAATTCAAAACGCTGCAGCACAAGTACTGACAGGAACTAGAAAAAGAGATTCCATTCAATTCAATTCAATTTTATTTGTATAGCGCCAATTCATAACAGAAGTTATCTCAGGACACTTTTCAAATAGAGCAGGTCTAGACCGAACTCCTTATAACATTAATTACAGAGACCCAACAGTACCACCATGAGCAAGCACTTGGCGACAAGGGCAAGGAAACACTGCCTGTTAAAAGGCAGAAACCTAGGACAGATCCTCCGGCTCTAGGTGGGTGGTCGTCTGTCTCGACCAGTTGGGGTGAGAGAGAGAGAGAGAGAGAGAGAGAGGCAGAGAGAGACAGAGCGAGAGACAGACAGACAGACAGACAGGTGCATAGCAACAACAGTATTGGCAACGGCAATCTAGCAGGACCATGGCAGGAGGCTCCACCAGGATCGACAAGAACCTGCGAGACGAGAAAGCACAAGAACTCCGGGGAAGAAGTGAAGTTAGTAACATGCATAAATGGAACATGAATGAGTGCAGAAAGAGAGAGGAAGGGAGGAGCTCAGTGCACCATGGGAAATCCCCCGATAGTCTAGGCCTATAGCAGCATAACTAAGGGATGGTTCAGGACTCACCTGATCCAGCCCTAACTATAAGCTTTATCAAAGAGGAATGTCTTAAGCCTACTCTTGAATGTGGTGAGGGTGTCTGCCTCCCGAACCACAACTGGAAGCTGGTTCCACAGGAGAGGAGCTTGGTAACTGAAGGCTCTGGCTCCTGTTCTACTTTTAGAGACTATAGGAACCACAAGTAGCCCAGCATTCAGAGAACGTAGTGTTCTAGAGGGGTAATAGGGTACTATGAGCTCTTTAAGATATGAAGGGGCCTGACCATGAAGAGCTTTATAGGTGAGGAGGAGGATTTTAAATTCAATTCTACATTTTACAGGGAGCCAATGCAGAGAAGCTAGTACAGGAGAGATGTGATCTCTTTTTCTAGTTCCTGTCAGTACTCGTGCTGCAGCGTTCTGAATTAATTGGAGCGTTTTAATGGACTTATTGGGGCAACCTGATAATAAAGAGTTGCAGTAATCCAGCCTTGAAGTAACAAATGCATGGATTAGTTTTTCTGCATCTGTCTGTGATAGGATGTGTCTAATTTTTCTAATATTACGTAAATGAAAGAAGGCGGTCCTAGAGGTCTGCTTTATGTGGGAGTTAAATGACAAATCCTGATCAAAGATAACTCCAAGATTCCTGACAGTGGTGCTAGAGGCCAAGGTAATACCATCTAGAGTAACTATATCTTTAGACAGTGAGTCTCTAAGGTTTTTGGGGCCAAGAACAAGAATTTCGTTTTTTTCTGAGTTTAGCATCAGAAAATTGCAGGTCATCCAAGATTTTATGTCCGTAAGACATGTTTGTAATTTAGATAATTGATTAATTTCATTGGGTTTGATTGATAGATATAACTGCGTATCATCTGCATAACAGTGAAAGTTAATGGAGTGATTCCTAATAATGTTGCCTAAAGGGAGCATATATAAAGTAAATAGTATTGGTCCAAGTACAGAACCTTGTGGAACTCCATGACTAACTGTAGTATTTATTGAAGATTCATCGTTAACATGTACAAACTGCGAGCGATCTGATAAATATGACTTAAACCAGCTTAGTGCGGTTCCTTTAATGCCAATTTGATGCTCAAGTCTCTCTAAAAGAATATTATGGTCAATGGTGTCAAATGCAGCACTAAGATCTAATAATACAAGTATAGAGACAAGTCCATTGTCAGAAGCAGTCAGAAGGTCATTATTAACTTTAACCAGAGCTGTCTCTGTGCTATGATGAACTCTAAATCCTGACTGAAAATCCTCAAATAAACTATTGTTATGTAGAAATTCACACAACTCTTTGGCGACTACTTTCTCCAGAATCTCAGAGAGGAAGGGGAGGTTAGAAATCGGTCTATAGTTGGCTAAAACCCCTGGGTCAAGAGTGGACTTTTTAAGAAGGGGTTTAATTACAGCTACTTTAAATGACTGTGGTACATATCCTGATAATAAAGAAAGATTAATCATATCCAGTAAAGAAGTGCCAATTAAGGGAACAACTTCTTTAAGCAGCCTAGTTGGGATCGGGTCTAATAGACAGGTTGATGGCTTCGATGAAGAAATGATTGAAGTTAACTGATGAAGATCGATAGCAGAAAAACAGTCTACATATATATCTAAGTTTACATTGACAGAAGTCCCTGAACTTGGAGAGCCACTGGTAACTGTTGATGGCAGTTGGTGATTAATTTTTTCTCTAATAGTAATAATTTTATTATAGAAGAAGCTCATGAAGTCATTGCTACTTAAGTTTATGGGGATATGTGGCTCAATAGAGCTGTGACTCTCTGTCAGCCTGGCTACAGTGCTGAAGAGGAACCTAGCGTTATTCTTATTTTCTTCTATTAGTGCTGAGTAATAGGCTCCTCTGGCATTACGGAGGGCCTTTCTATAAATTTTAAGATTATCTTGCCAATTTGAGCGATATTCTGATAATTTGGAAGAGCGCCATTTCCTTTCAGATTTCCTAGCTATTTGTTTTAACTGGCGGGTTTGGTGGTTATACCAAGGTGCTAGTCTCCTATGTTTTAATAATTTCCTTTTTATAGGAGCGATAGAGTCTAATGTTGATCGTAGTGAGCCTGTAGCACTATCAACAAGATTATCAATTTCGGAGGGACTAAAGTTATTATAAGTTTCTGTTAAATTCAGACATGGCATTGAATTAAACACTGAAGGAATCTCCTCCTTAGATTTAGCTACAGCACTGTCAGATAGACATCTGCTGTAGGAAGTTTTGCCTAATGGCTTATAATCTAATAGTATGAATTCAAAAGTTATTAAATAATGGTCAGATAGGAAAGGATTATGTGGGAAGACTATTAAATGTTCAATATCAATGCCATATGATAGAACAAGGTCAAGAGTGTGATTAAAACAATGAGTTGGTTTATTTACACTCTGACAGAAGCCAATTGAGTCTATTAATGATATAAATGCATTACTAAGGCTGTCATGTCATTGATCACATCTCTCCTGTACTAGCTTCTCTACACTGGCTCCCTGTGAAATTTAGAATAGAATTTAAAACTCTCCTCCTCACCTATAAAGCTCTTCATGGTCACACACAAACACACACGCACTTGAGGAAAGATGTTTTAGTTAGTAAGTTTGGACATTGTTTCAAGTAGAAAATATTTTAGGAAAGTCATGAAGTTTTTGAAAAGGGACATTTTTTGTTAAGTGAGGACAAGTGGGAACAAATGTTTGGAAGGTGTACAATTTAAATGTCCTATATGATATACGGACATTTTGTAAATTCGAGACTTATACTAGAAATGGAAGACATTTTTATTCTGTGTAAGGAATCAAACTTTTAGATCAACAGAACAGATTAAGCGGTTTATCACGGCTCATTAATTTAGAAATGTTGTTAAATTTGATCTCACACATTGATGATGGAGCTTTTGCAGACTTGGTTGAGTTAACACACCTTAATATAGATCGTAATTATCTCACAAACCTGACAGATAACATCTTTCAGGGACTGTCCAAATTAGTGAGTCTGTCTCTAACCAACAATCAAATCTCATACATCTCCCCACTGGCCTTTCAGCTCCTCGTCAACTTACAGGAAGTAGTACTGAGCTCAAACAGACTGCATCAAATTACTGATATTGTGCCTATTTTACAACTACCAAACTTATACCAACTAGAAGCAGGATGTAACAGGTTCACTTCTTTTGAGTCAGATGGTCTTCCTCTCAACAAATCAAACCTGAGGACACTTGTGTTTAACTTGAATCCACTGAAAAAGTTCAGCATCACAAGGGACATCTTTCCTCATCTTGAATCTATCGATATGAGCAAATGCAGCCCTGGCTTTGAGTGGAACGTCCCCGACAAGACGTTTGTAAGGAGCTTAACTCGTTTGTATTTAAGTGGAACTGAAATAAGTTTTGAAACTTACAGAATGATGCTTCAGAGTGAGGAGTCGGTGGAGTATCTCTGGCTGAGCTACGTGAAAGAATGGTTCAATAAAGGTCTGATAGAAGTAGCCTGCCGGATTCCTGCTTTAACAAGTCTTGATTTGACTTTCAACAACATTTACGTTTTAAAAGACACACTGCTTCAGCCTTGCTCTAAAATCACTGAACTGGCTTTAGTTGGCAATGTCATGACCGACCCCTCTGAGAATTCACTCAGACCATTGAATCAGCTCATGCAACGGAAATGAACGCCTACCAGTATCACTGCTCCTTTCCTCCGAGTAAACAGGGAACCAGGTTGCTGGACTTTGACATCCAGTCCTGCTGGATGGACGTTAGCTTCCTCTGCTTCGTTTCCAGCACTTGTCTGGTTGTGCTAACTCTCCTCGCATCCTTCATCTACCACTTTCTGAGATGGCAGCTGGCCTACGCCTTCTACCTCTTCCTGGCCTTCGTCTATGACAACAGGAAGAGGAAGAAGGGAGCTCCTCACCACTACGACGCCTTCATCTCCTACAACGTTCACGACGAGGACTGGGTTTACAGAGAGATGCTTCCAGTGCTGGAAGGAGAGCAGGGCTGGAGACTGTGTCTGCACCACAGAGACTTCCAACCAGGTAAACACTCACTCTGCCTTCATCTCTACCAGAATCTCTGTCTTTTGTTTCCTTCCCTCTCTCCTTGCTGTCTGATTTTAGCCACAGCCTTTTTTCTGTCTTTTTTTCAGCTTTTCTCCCTCTCGTCTTTTCTTTCTCTTTCTTTCACTTCTCCATTTACCTCTCTTTCAGAGTTTAATACAAATGTGTGATTTTCTGTCCATTTTTTAAGACTTGTTGTTCCAATGATAGTTTCACATCCCTTTTTTTTGTTGGCCAGCAGTCTTCACGTGTGCAGTGATGCTCATCATGCTACAAAACATGTTTTAGCTTGAGGGCTTCATCAGGGACCCTAAACCCCCAAACTCCACCGGGCAGGGCCAGTGGCAGTCAATTTTCAAAATAAAATACACCATATAGAATCCAGATTGAAATTCATCCCCATTCCTTTGGGGCAAGGAAACAAAACAGGAAGATGCTTCACTTCTGAAATGCTTTTGCTGGGATTTAAATGCGGGTAACAGACCATAACAATATTGAATTATAATTTTAGGATTTTGGTTGGGTGAATGTTCAGTCTTTCCTCAGTTTAACTGTTTCAGCAGAAATCAGTCCATGTGGTTTTCATACAGTGTGTTTGAACTGTCTCCACAGGTAAGGCCATCATAGAGAACATTACAGATGCCATCTATGGCAGCAGGAAGACCATCTGTGTGATCAGCCGGCGCTACCTGCAGAGCGAGTGGTGCTCCAGAGAGATCCAGATGGCCAGGCGAGGTCGCTCACATCCAGCAGCACCTCCTGCTTTTATCTCACAGCCTCCCGAACTGATCCAGTCCTCTGAATAGTCCTCATGGTCTATTGTAACAGCATCTTATATGGTACATCCTCCAAAGTTCTTAATAAACTTCAGTACATCCAGAACTCACGCACACCCGCTCATGTGACAACATCACCCCTGTCCTACAGAACCTCCACTGGCTCCCTGTCCAACAACAGATCCAATTTAAAGTCCTTCTCCTCACTCACAAAGCCCTCCACAACCAGGCCCCCTCCCACCTTGCAGACCTGCTCCATCTCCACACTCCTTCCCAAAGCCTCCGATCTTCTGATGCCAACCTCCTGTCTCCACCACTGAGGACCAAGCATCTTACCTGGGGCGACAGAGCCTTCTCCATTGCTGCCCCCTCCCTCTGGAACTCTCTCCCCAAAGACATCAGAGACTCTACTGAGTCATCCAACTTCAAATCACTGATCAACACCCATCTCTTCAGAACTGCCTTTAATGATTTTAATTATTAATTCATTGTTGAGTGTTGTAGATAAAGCTATAATTTTTTTGTTTTGTTCTTATTACCTTTTTCTTTTCCTTTTTAACTCACGTGAAATGTCTTGAGTTTCCTGAAAAGCGCTCTTTAAATTAAATGTATTATTATTAGATTCAAAAGTCACCAAATACGGTGTTTCTTTCAGCCTGTTTGAGGTTGTTTTAGGTTGTTTTAATGTATTGTGTGTGTGCTTAGTTCTACTCAAAAATAATCTTTATTATCTTCAATGAATGTCGTCTATTACATTACAAGCAATAACAAAATATTTTCATTCCTGATCATCACCGAAATCTGTAAAAAAAAAAAAAAAAAAAAAAAAAAAAAATAGATGAATCTGGTCTCAGTGTGTGTTTCAGCTGGATTAAAGCGGCCGTGTGCTGGACTGTATACTCATTATGTTTGTGTTTCACTGGTGACCAAGGTCATTTCAACAAAACAGTAAATGATTGATACACATATCCAACAAGTCTATTCTGTTAAACTTTAACATATACTGTGCTATCACTACATTTCACCTTCATTTTACTATATCTCGTTTTTACTATCAGGACAAGTTAGCCTCCCAGTGAACACAACCTCCGAGAGAGAGGACAGTTTGACGACAGCGGTACCGAGGTGATTTATAGAGTTTCCATTTGGACTTGTTGCTAACAGAAGCTAACTGTCGCTAACAGTAATGAGGCCATTAGCTAGTTAGCTCGTACAGCTAATGTTAGCTGACTCAGGAGACACACTCAGCAAAAACCCACCTCAGTCCTTTATTCCCTATATTCAAACTGTCCTCCATCAGCATCAGATGCTGCATTCAGTCCCGGTCTGGACAGAATCCGAATCAGAATCAGAATCAGAAATACTTTAATAATCCCAGGGGGAAATTACTTTCGTTACAACACTCCAGATATACAAACAACATATTATACAAAGAACATATATATATACACAACATTCAGCACAAAAAAAATATATATATATATATATATATATATATATATATATATATATAACTATATAAAGATCAAATGTACAGTATTAATGTGCAAAAAGTGCAAAAAATGATTGTCCGTTGTTGTCAGATTACAGAGAGGGGGTGTCTGACTCTCTGAGGGAGGCGTTGTAGAGATTGATGACCACAGGCAGGAATGATTTCCTGTGGCGCTCTGTGGTGCATCTGGGTGAGAGGAGTCTTCTGCTGACGGTGCTCCTCCAATGTGAGACATTGTTCAAGATGGACTGAAGCCTGGACAGCATCCTCCTCTCTGCCATGGTCGTCAGAGTGTCCAGCTCCTCCCCTACGACATCACCGGCCCTCCTGATCAGTTTGTTTAGTCTGTTGTTGTCTGCGACCCTCAGCCCACTGCCCCAGCATGTGACAGCGAAGAAGATCGTACTGGCCACAACAGACTCATAGAACATCCTCAGCATCCTCCGGCAGATGTTAAAAGACCTCAGCCTCCTCAGGAAAAAGAGTCGGCTTTGGCCCTTTTTGTAGACAGCCTCAGTGTTTCTAGTCCAGTCCAGCTTATTATTAAAGTACACCCCCAGGTACTTATACTCCTCCACAGTGTCCACAGGGACCCCCCTGGATGGAAACAGGGGTCACAGGTGTTTTTGCCCTCCTCAGATCCACTATGAGCTCCTTAGTCTTTGTCACATTGAGCTGCAGATGATTCAGCTCAGTCCAAGTGACAAAGTTGCCCACCACAGTCCTATATTCACTGTCATCACCCTTATCTATGCAGCCAACTATTGCTGAGTCATCAGAAAACTTCTTAAGGTGGCAGGACTCAGTGCAATAGTTGAAGTCTGAGGTGAAGAGGGTGAAGAGGAAGGGAGAGAGGACAGTCCCCTGTGGGGCCCCAGTGTTGCTGACCACCCTGTCAGACACACAGTTCTGTAGGCGTACGTACTGTGGTCTGCCCGTCAGGTAATCAACAATCCAGGACACGATGGGGGCCTCCACCTGCATCGCAGCCATCTTCTCACCCAGTAGAGCCGGACAGATGGTATTGAAAGCACTGGAGAAATCAAAGAACATGACTCTCACAGTGCTTGCCGGCTTATCCAGATGAGTGTAGACTCTGTACAGCAGGTAGATGATGCTGTCCTCAACTCCCAGGCGGGGCTGGTAGGCGAACTGCAGTGGATCGGTGAAGGGCCTGACTCCAGCTGCTCCAGGACGAGCCTCTCCAGGGTCTTCATAATGTGGGACGTCAGAGCCACCGGTCTATAGTCCTGAGGGCCGCTGGGACGCGGCGTCTTTGGCACAGGAACGAGGCAGGACGTCTTCCACAGCACAGGGACTCTCTGGAGGTGCAGGCTCAGGCTGAAGACTTGGCTAAGTACTCTGCTGGGGGGGCACAGGCTTTAAGCACCCTGGGAAATACACCATCGGGGCCTGCAGCTTTGCCGGAGTGGAGTCTTTTCAGCTGTCTTCTCATCAGGTCAGGCGTGAAGGGCACTGTAGAGGTGACAGTGGGGGGGGAGGGGGAGGTCCTCAGGTTGTGGAGGACATGATGTAGAGCAGGGGGAGGGGTGGAGTAGGTGGATGTGATATTGAGGTGGTGAGGAGCAGACAAGGGGTCTGTAAGGAGGAGGAGTAGGGGGAGATAAAGTGGTAGTTGTTGAGTAGCCAGCAGCAGAGACTTGTGGGGGATGGGCCGCAGTATCAAACCTATTGAAAAATAGGTTCAGTTCATTGGCCCGGTCGACATGGCCCTCCAACCCCATGCCACCAGTCTTCTGGAACCCAGTGATGGTTCTCATGCCCCTCCACACATCCCTCATGTTGTTTCGCTGGAGTTTATTCTCCAGCTTTCTCCTATATTTGTCTTTTGCCTCCCTGATTTTGAGTTTGAGTACCCCCTGCACTCTCCTCACCTCATCACGCTTGCCATATCTGAACGCCCTCTTCTTCTCATTCAGGATGGCCTTAATGTCCTTAGTGATCCAAGGTTTATTGTTGGCATAACAGGTTAAAAAGGACCTGCTGTTCACTGGGAGCTCCCAGTCCGACAGAGTCCGCTAATGGGACAAACATTCTGCGCTACTGGCTACCACCAAGTCCCTCACTGACATCCTGTTTTTACAGTAAACATGCAAATATAAGGAAGCAAACAGCTCTTCCTTTTAACATCGACTTTACTAAGTTCACAGGCTCAAAGGAAACATTATCTTGGATATCACGTTTATGCAGACAGAATGGGGGAACGCGTCCCTTTAGTTAGACAACTGTTTAACCTGAGAGAAGTTCAGACATCTTCTGAAAACTGATCCTGTTTGCTTTGTGTGTGTTGTTTTACTGACAGTGTTGTGTTTAGGTTTTGTTCAACAATGTTGATTATACATTTTATTTTAATTTACACTTTTTATTGCATAGCTGATCTGATGTATTAGCAGGGTACCTGTTCATTTAGTAAATGATGGTCCCCTTTTGAGTAAAATAGTCCATAAAGCAAACACCCTTTCATACAGTGCTGGCAAAGCCCAGTGCTGATGTGGCACATCAGCGGCGTACCTATCGTATATGCAAGGTATGTAGTTTCATAGGATCATGGTTTTATATGTGTGAAGTTGCGTTTTAATCTCTAATCTTTCAATTTGGTCGAATAGGCCAGTCTGCCACTGACTGTCTTCTACAGCAGGGCTGTCTGTTTTCATATAATTATGGTATCAACTGCGCAGTGCATTTCGTTGTTACTTGTCATGGCTGGGCTATTTCTGACAACCCACTCACATCAAACAGCACAGAGCAGATCGCTCTGGCATGACGTCAGACAGAGGTAAGGCATAGAGATAATTTTTCTACTTGAAGATCACAGAGCGAAAACGCAGACGAAACGGTGGAATTTCAGGGTAAATCCAACAATGTTCCTGACACTGTCCCAAACTGACCCTACATTGCTGTTGCATTGCATGCAAACATTTTGGTAACCAACCTTTGAACCACAGTTATTTATTTATTTTTTTTCTATAGTTATTTCAGTGATTGTGCTGCAACAACTGAATGTCCCCACTGGGGATCAATGAAGGTTTATCTGATCTTAGGAAATCCTACAACCACAGCCGACCCTGAATTCCCCGTTGAACCTCAGAGAGTGGGTGACAGGCTGGAAGTGAAATATTGCTTACTCAACTCTTTGTGTAAATAATGGTAAAGTCCAGAAGCTTGTAACTCTGCCTCCAGCAGCCTCTTTAAAGGCTGAACGGCTCGGTGAGGCTCAGTCGTGCAGCTCAGCTCATCATCTGACGTCTGCTTGGTTTTGATTTGTGGCTCTGAAACTAGCTAGCTGTAGCATCATGAATCTGTGGTTCAGTAGTCACTTCTTGGTTGTGGGGCTGGTTCTCAGGATCTCTGCTCTGACGCCTGAAGAATGCCAACCCTTGGTCACGCCTTTGTCTCTGGCCGACGCCCACATGGTAAGCCCTCCTCTGATTCCTGCAGGGGTGTTTTGGTTAGCATTAACACTGAGACATTCCAGCATTTATTTAATTTATTATTTTAGTCATGCATTTTTCGCAATTATTCAGCCCTATTTTCATTAACTGTCACTAACTGCCATCATGTGTGCAGTTGTACGGCAGGACGAACTTCATCATGGGTTACACCAGTACTGAACAATATGACAACATCCTGAAGGCAACCGACAGCTACTGGATGAAAATCACTCCATCGCTATCCAGCACCAATGAAGTTCTCATGTATCAGTACAACAAGATGTGAGTTGATACCAGTGCAACATCAACTGTTAAAACACACAACATGATAACAACTGTAAACCGCAATTTTGTCATAATTAATTAAACATTTGAGGAAAGAACTCCCACTAAAACATATTTAACACTGTTAAAACCATTACACCAAATCAGTGCCTTTTCTGTCCCTAAGACATTATATGCATTAATATGAATGAAAACTATCTTTATAATACATTATATTATGAAGCAGTGTCTTGCACTTTGTTCTAATTGCAATTTGAAGATACATCATTGAAAGCATTCATAAAAATGACCTAACACTTAAACTTTCAGAAGTCACTTGATCAAAAAGAAGTAGCATCTTTGAGTCTTCTGAAGACCAAAAGTAACTTCCAGTCCTGTTACCAAAAATGCTAAATCTTCAATTTAGCAACCATGTAAAAAAAATAATAAACAAACTGAGATTGGCTATTACACATTTTCAATAGTTAAACATATAGAATGAAGTTTAGTTTTGGCTACAACACGCAAATGGCACAGATTCGGCAGAATCTATATGCTGCTCGTTAAATGCTGCCCCTGGTTCACGTTTCTTGCTATGCAGATGATACTCAGTTTTATTTATCCGTCACATTAAAACCTCTTGAGTCAATCAATCCAAAGTGCTGTCACTTGATGTACGTCGATTCACCTTTTACTAAGCTACAACTGTTACTACACCTATTAAGCTTTCCATCCTAAAACAGCATGTATGCATTTTACAGTGATAGCAGTGACATATTTACCATCGTAATTTATAGTATTTTTAAAACAGTGGGTCCTTAATT